CGTGTGTACCGCCGGCGGTTCATGGTCACTTGTGCATTTAATACAATATATTTTCTACGTCACTAAAGCGGATAAATACTGTACTATGACACCCAGAAAAAGGTAATTTTCTTTAACTTTGAGAACTTTCACTGTATCTTTTATTTTAGATAAATTGGGAAAGAACAAAAAGTAGTAATTTATTACAACATAAAAAAATCAATGATTCCAAATTCAATAAATAAAATAACAAAATTATTCATAAGTTCGCTTTTGGCTTACATATAATAAAAAAAGGACTTCAGGTTAATTCAATATTATCACATCTACGACGCTTCCCATAAAAATATTCAACATCCATTATGCGCTACGGGCTGTACTTTAGAGATACTACACAACAAAATTAAATAAGAATAAAATATAATCATGTGAAACCGGCGGTACACATGGCACCAGAATAAAGTTGAAAATATTCAACATCCATTATGCGCTACGGGCTGTACTTTAGAGATACTACACAACAAAATTAAATAAGAATAAAATATAATCATGTGAAACCTGCGGTACACATGGCACCAGAATAAAGTTGAATGATCTGTGTGACGCTTTATAACGGTACAAATAACACACATACAGAAAAATCTATTTTAACAAATAACTTTTGTACACTAAAGAATAATGTTTACTTGTTATTAATTATTTGCACCTTACTAATGTATTTTGAGTTTGTACGGTATACCCATGGTCATGGCAGAAGAATACAGGTAGATGCATCAACGATTAAGATCACTGATATGTCAAAAAATGTTAATGTTTTTTTCAAATATAAGTAGATTTTTATATGTTTTCTTACACTACGTCATTCGGAGGCTATTATAATTCGCGTTTTTTAACATTTTTTACAAATTTAAATAGTTTTTCTTTCATCATTTTCAATTCCAAAATTGGTTTGACAGTTCATTGTCCCAGCAGCTGTGTCGACGCGTCTACCTATATTCTTCTACCATGCCCATGGGCTATTATAATTCGCGTTTTTTAACATTTTTTACAAATTTAAATAGTTTTTCTTTCATCATTTTCAATTCCAAAATTGGTTTGACAGTTCATTGTCCCAGCAGCTGTGTCGACGCGTCTACCTATATTCTTCTACCATGCCCATGTTCCCAAGCGTTAATGCATCTACCTGTATTCTTCTGCCATGAGTATACCTCAACATGTTAATATGCCTAGTCATGAATTTAAGCTTTTTATGTACTTGCACCTTATGTGCCCCGTAGGCGGTCGAAATGTATGACATCAAAATCGTGTACGAATGTATGAAATTTTTAGCACACACGGTTCATGCATGCATTTTACTTTTTATTTCATACTGTGCATATTATGTCGATAACGGGCGATACATTTTTGGCGAATTTGGCCGTGTGCTTAAACAAGAAAGAAAACGAAAGAGAAATAACTGAATCTGGATGAAAAAGTGTTACAAAAAATCGAATATTTTAAGAATAGTTTAATCTCTTATTAAGTTTTCGTCAAAACTTCAATGCATAAAAAAATCTTTCCCATCTCTGATTTTGTGTATATACAATGGATTTATGAATATAGATTTTGACAATGAGATGGTGAGATGTCGGACTCATTCAAAATTATTGTTTTCATTTTTTCATATTTTTCCTCATTTGTTAAATAGCGCGAAAAATGAATAAAATGTCTTGATTTGCTTGATTTGATCCTAACTGACCAATCTTTCAATTTCATGGCTATACTGGTTAATAGCTTTAATGCGCCAGAAGCAATTCATGTGTCTTCTAATCATTGGTTGTGATTTTTTTGGCAGAATTCGGGCACACTAGAAAAAAATTGTAATCAGCTGTTAGCTCTACCTTACCTTTTAATTGTACCATGGATGCATCAACGCTTGGGAACACTGATATGTCAAAAAATTTAAATGTATTTTCAAATAAAAGTAGATTTTTATATGTTTCTTATATTACGTTAGTCGGAGGCTATTATAATACACGTTTTTCAACAATATTAACAAATTTAAATAATTTTTCATTCAACATGTTCAATTCCAAAATTGGATTGACAGTTCATTGACCCAGCAGCTGTGTCTACCTATATTTTTCTACCATGGCCCTTAAGAAGCTTAAAGTCATGGCTAGGCATATTTTATGACATTTCATAAAAGGACTACAGATCCACACTAATACCCTGCCGCCGTTTTCCATTATAAGTTGACATTAATCTGCCTAGCCATGAGCTCAAGCTTTTTATGTACTTGTACCTTAAGCTGTCGGTTTATGTTTTAATATTGAGCAAACAGGCTAATTACACAACTTCTTAATGTCAAATTATTAGGAACACGACGGCAGGATTCGCGTGGAGTTCTGATATGTCACAAAATATGCCATGTAAGATATGACAAAAACAGCAAAATTCATTTAAATAATGAAATGAATAAAGCTAATTTTATTGAAGTTTATATTGAAGTTTATTTTATATTTCACGAAATTAATTAAAAATTCGAAATAAAAAAATTATTAAACTAAAATGAAGATACCATTGTGAAAAAAATGCAGTGACTACCAGTTACTTTTATAAAAATGTCATATTTCTGTTATTCAATTTATTTTAATGGAATGATGTAATAATGTAAACGCGACAATGTGAACTTTATCGTTTACTTTTACTAAAGTAGGGTATAACAAAACTAGGCTATAAATAAATATATATAAATATATAAGAACGGACCTATGTTTTTTACAACTTTACCTAAAATTCGACATAACGTACACAAATATTCAACTTCTCCACTATGGTAAAATGTTTTGTACGTCGGCCTTACCAAAATACGCAAGGCCCGTATCTTAAAATCTACCAACTAAAAAGGTTGTAAAAAGTTTGTATTACTTGTTTCTATTTCCAACACACAAATGAAGACATTGTTTAATAGTCAATGTTGAAATTGATCAACTTTGAAATTTCGTACGACACATGTTATAATTATTACAGGTAGCACAAAATTCCAGCTGATTTCATTCTGTAATAATCATGGTAGAAGAATACAGGTAGTCGCATCGACACAGCTGCTGGTACAATGAACTGTCAAACCGATTTTGGAATTGAAAATGTTGAATGAAAAATTATTCAAAAAAATCATATATAACAACCTCTGATTTGCGTCGTATAAAAAAACATTTAAAAATCCACTTATTTTTATAAAACATTTTAAAAATGTTGACATATCAATGCATCTACCTATATTCTTCTACCATGATAATAATACTAGTGTAAATTCGATGTGGTAGACAAATACAGGTAGATGCATCATCGCTTGGATCATTGATATGTCAAAAATTTTATAATTATTTTTTCCCATTTTTCAAAAAAGTGGGGCGGAAATTTTATAGCGGTAAAGGAACAGCGACACCACATTAATTAATATAGTCGTATATGTCAAAATGTAGAATACTTTGAGAGGGATGTTGCTTTATCCACGATTTTTTTAGCGATTGTTTCAAGTGTTAAGAGATTTGGACCTACAGCTATCAACTATACATTCAGGAAAATGATATGAAAGCATTAAAATTAAATAATTGAGGAACTACTATTTTGCATTTTTAATTTAATAATCCGAATTCCAAAAATGTATATTTTTAAAATTAAAATAATTCATTGAAAATTAATTGTTTTGTTTACATTTTTTGACTTATAACTGTGACATTTGTATTAGGTATAAAAACAAATTTGTATGTGGTAGTTGTTATATTGTTTACAACAACACTTGCTGTTACCTGTTTTATTCTACCATGCGTCCGACGTACTGTGGTACGTCTTTATGGTAGAAGAATACAGGTAGATGCATCAACGCTTGGAAACATTGATATGTATTTGAATTCCAAAATTGGTCATACAATTGATTGTCCCAGCAGCAGTGTCTTCTACCATGTTTCATGCTTTTTATTTGTGTGGCGAAAACGTTAACTGAGTACGTCGAATTTTAGGCAACGTTGTTATTTATATATCCTTATTATTATTACGCTCAGACTAAACAATCCATTCGTAAATCGTATTCATAAATTAAGAATATGACGTATACGCTATGGAATCAACATTTAAGATCTAATGGATTTCGTAAATCTTAACGTAATTTAAGCATGTTTCTTCTTTTATTTAGCTTGCCGCATATCACAGTGGGCGGATGTGATTACCGGTTATTCACATCAAGTATTCACCACTACATGGTATATTCACCTTTGCTGTCAGCAGCACAAAGCATTTGTCGACGAAATTCATATTTTATCATGGTTAAGTTAGGTTATATCGTCAACTCATAAAAATTATTTATAAGCTAGTTTTTTAAGGAAAAACTTAAATTTAGTGAATTTGCAGTGCGAAATTTTTTTGAGATTTCCTCAGACGAACACCTGGCGAAAGCGGTGAGACACAAACATTTTTTTTATTTTACATATTAATTTACATAACTAAAAACGGACAAAAACAATTTAATAAAAACTGATCGACAACCGTATCGTATCTCGGCCGTCGTATTAGGTCAAATGGATGAATATGTGAAACTAAGTTCATTTTTGTGTATTCAGCATAATACAACTGTCGCGATATGTGAAATTTGATTGGTAGCTTAATGCAAAACGTAGACAAGATTGTGTATGGTACATGAATATGGCTTCTTTTGGAAATAATAGAATTGCTTTAAAGATACTGGATATACACACTATTATTTGTCCTGAAAAATGTTTCGCATTTCGTTGCCGACGCATAAACCAAAACAATTAAACATTTTGTTTAGGTGTTTTGGAAAGTGAAATTCTCTAATTGTTTTATACATACAAAATATATATACGTATGTATAACAAACCTTATAATGGTTGTTGGTTTACACACAACACATCATCAGTGGTACACCAGAAAAAAGTCTAGTCATATTAACGTCGCTACTGCATGTATAAAGAAAAATTAGGCGAATACATACAACATACAAAGTACGGAGCAGCAGTGTTTGCAAACTTTGCCCAATATAAAGAAGCGCGAACAAGAAACCACGCCGCAATAAGCTTGCATTGTATGTTTTACGAAGTTTCCCCAGTGATCAGCCTGATGTAGAAAGGAAAATGTCATTAATCCACAAATGTTCAACAGGATGCAGACTCAATGTTTTAAATTTGTTTATTCACTCTGATGATTGGATTATACGAAAGTCAAATTGTTTAAAAGAAAAGTGTACTGCGTAATTTTTTTATTGGCTAACACAACGATTGGTATGTGTATTTGTGTACGCTTATGTATTAGTACGTACATGGTATAAACGAAATGGCGTAAAATAATATCATTTGTTAATTATTTTGGATGGCTGTCCACATTCGCAAAAAGAAAAAATATAAATTCTCGGTTACACTTGTTTTAAATATATGAAATATATTCTCAATCAATAATTTGACAAGTTATTTTTCTTTTGCAAATTGCCCGGCAGCCATCCATTTTGTTTTTCAGTGCATGTTTTCGTTGTGTGTGATTCTCTAAACATGTGTGAAGCATTGTTTATTGTTGCCATACTTGTGTTTTTTTATTATTTTTTCTTTCGACGTTTCGCCGCCACGTAGTTCTTTAAATATTTTCTCAAGCTTTTATACATTCTAACATGCAATACTCTGAAACCGGTTTTGGAACAACTCTATTTTAGTAAAAACTGACATTTTTAAAAAATTTAACAAATGTACGCATTTATACCCTGATTCCGGGAAAGTATTTTTTCTTGGGTGAAAAAAATTCGGGTCCAAAACTCGGGTTATACCTGGGCCTGATATGGACCATAGAGAATCATTTGGAAGCTAATGAAAATACCTATTCAACAAGTGGTCAGTGATCGGCTTAATGGTAAACAGTTTGGGTGTTATACCACAATTATTCATTACATAAGTTTATTTGGACCCGATTTTTTTTATAAAATCCTTTAAAAGTCGAATTAGAGACCACTATGAGCGTCCATAAAACATATACCAAATTATGGCTAATACGTCAACCTTTCTAAAATACTACAATATGTGCTTCTCACTTTCCTGGATTCAAAGATATGGCTCTTTGAACTCGGATATGAGATTTTATTTTCCTTGAATCCAAAAATATGGGCCTTTTAACCGGGAAGCCCGATTCAGTTCAGTGCATCGAACCAAGTTTTTTCTACAAATACCTACCTGTGGAAGAAGTTTCGAAAAAATCTGAGAGTTGTTCAACGAAGATTAGTAGTAATAATGTTTCAAATTTTGCAGATTAAACACATTAATAGTTTATAAATTTAACACCTAAACCATTATACCTAAAGACGCTAGGCGCCTGACCAAGAATCAGTTTTTACATTAAACTAAACGTATTCAACAGAAAGAGCTGACGATATAGAGAACGCCGAAAATTTCTTTATTACTTTTCCTTGATTTGGTAACCGAGTTACGTCTTTTGCCTCCTTAGGTCTGAAACTTGTCTACTGTCAGCTTATTTTATCCGTTTACTACAAGTGACACCATATGTGCTTCCGCAACCATCTATTCCGTTTCTATAGCGAAACCGCACATGCATTTAATGCAATAATGATCTTGGCTCACGCGTACAATTGTGCATCGAAGGAAAAAAAGCTTTTTAATTTAGGCTTTAATTTTATAAGTTACCAAAATTTTTTTTGTAACCCTGCTTTTACAAGTCATGTAGGCCATGGACAGAACATTAGAGGTCATGTATTTAATGTCAAAAAACCAGCCTTTGTCTTGGTGCCGTAGACATCCCAGCAATTGTAAAACTATCAATAAAAGGCGTTTAAATTCATTTATCTTCAGTACTTTTCTTTATTTATTTATTATTATAACGTACAACACTTTGTGTTGTATATATATATATATCCGATATATTTGCTATCGGCATATACGTAACGGTCAGAAAAAAGTACAAAATCTAAAAATATCCCATAAAAAGATGTCAATAATGATGTTAATATAGATTTTGTAGCATTTTCTGACATTTTTTATTTGTCGATTTTTTCATTTTGACCTCTTGCACTTAAAGATGATCGTAAAGTATTTAGGGGTTCAAATGAACCAAAAACTAAAAAAATGTCCTGATCACACAATTGAAGCCAATCGACGAGACTGAGAAGAGAGTTAAGGACAGGGAGAATTGTAGCATTTTGGATGACTATTGGATTATATTTAGCTGTAAAATGAACCACAACAACTAACAGCATGACGGAGTGCGTAAATATTGGGCAAATGTCCCTGGTCAAAATGCTAAGGGTAATATCTGGGCAGTCCACAATGACAAAATTTCAAAAGCGAAATCTTCCAAAGTATATTTGGACATAAAGGGGCTTCCAACATATTGTAGTGTTGTAGGGTATCACATGGTCGGCCCCGCAGGACTATAGCCTTTGCTTACTGGTTTTTTAGATAAGATACACATGCTGCGGATGGCTTTTAAAACCTTAATGTTTCAATATACATTTTATCCAAAAATTTGGTAAAACCAGGTATATATGCTAAATTTTCCTTCAAAAATAATGAACACGTCACGTACATATTTTGGAAAATGTTATGTTTCGCAAAATGTATGCGTTATGTGGCGCTTCCACTGCACTTGATTCGCTCTCTATTCGTTGTTTGACCCTTAACTATGAAAAAACTACTTAATTCTTCACACAAAATTTCCTGGTCAAACACTCATAAATGTACATTGTTCAAATCAAATCACTCTCAGAACAACGAAAAAATATGTCCCATCCCTAACAAATGAGAGCATTTATGGAAAAAATAAATGATGAAATTTAAAAATTGAAAATAGAAAAATTTCACAAAAAAAAAAAAAAATAAATAAATAATGAACACGTCACGTACATATTTTGGAAAATGTTATGTTTCGCAAAATGTATGCGTTATGTGGCGTTTCCACTGCACTTGATTCGCTCTCTATTCGTTGTTTGACCCTTAACTATGAAAAAACTACTTAATTCTTCACACAAAATTTCCTGGTCAAACACTCATAAATGTACATTGTTCAAATCAAATCACTCTCAGAACAACGAAAAAATATGTCCCATCCCTAACAAATGAGAGCATTTATGGAAAAAATAAATGATGAAATTTAAAAATTGAAAATAGAAAAATTTCATGAAATTTTGAAAAATTTTGGGAAGACTTAAAATTATGAATGAAAACTACAATGTTGAATAGCGTATGTACATTCAAACGAAAGTAAATTTTGTTTTCTCTCTCATTGTTACACCCATTGTCTGTCTACACATTTCAAAATGTTTTACAACATTGTCATGCTTAATTCAATTCTCGGTTTTAATGAAATGTTGTACTGTTAATATTAGTTTCAGTATTTAATAAAACACAACATCTTTGGCGAATCCCCTTTTTTCTATATCATAGGCTTTTAACAATGACAGAAATATACTCGCTTAACACACACTTATTGTTTTTTTTCTCATTCCGTCGTTGAGGTGGTTTGTTTGGTTTTAGTTCGTTATATCGACAACGAATGTTTTTATTAACGGATCACAAGTTTTTTCAACAATGGTTTAAAAAAAAAACGAAGAAACAAAAGGTATTCACTTTTTTGTATAAAATTTCACCCCAGTGCAATGTTGAGAATTTTATTCTTAATAATAGAAAAAACTACATTTTACGAAACACCATCTACAATGGTACGATTAATTTAAAACTTAAAATATGTATATGTGAATGTTTTTTTTCCAGCACTTCCTATTTATTTTTACTATACAATTAATATTCAAAAATTATTTACTGTTTATTGAAAATCGAAAAGGTTCACCATCAACTACTGCTGTATAGTGGAGTAGGGAGATTTTTGAGGGCCATACATTGGGGCATTCAGGACATTTGCAAAGATGTTTGAAAATGTCTGTTAGCTTAAGCATGTAAGAACAAGACTTTGATGCAGAAGGGAATTACAATTTTTTTAAAGGGGTTCGATTACAATGCAATGATTAAAGTCCATTTTTAAATGGCATGAAACCGTAAATGGAGTATAAGTCAGATCTGTGTATATCTACGTAGAATGCAACACGATAGAGGATATTTGGCATAAGTAAGAGTATAAGCTATTGAAATTAAGATAAGGTTTAGCTATGTGTGTAGAGAATTTAACCTTGTTACCAATTTCATATCCAAGCTCGAAAATGCATGTGTGTTTTGAACACTTAAGCGGTATACCTCGTGGTCATTTAGAGCATTATTGAAGACTATTTATTAGGATTTTCTAAGATTATATTCGCATGCGCATTCGCATATATGCCAAACATGGGAATCTGGGATCGATTATTGATTTACCAGATGACATATTTACTGCAAATATCATCAGTAAGTTTTATTATTAGAGTAATAGTACTTAATATAGATTGAGATTATCTAACAAGATAATGTATATGAAGGCATTAAGCTGGTTCATCTTTAATTAACTACTCTTTGAAAAGCTGGTACAAACCTGAAGTATTCTGCCCCTAGCTGCCTTTAAATCCGAGAGAATTTTATTAGTCGTAAATATCGTATGCAATTATTTAAAACATAAAAGTGAGCTTTTAGTGAACATTGGATTCCATTCTCCATATCCGCAAGACCGAATTAGAATAGCCAGACGAACCAACGGAAAAAGTTAAAATATTAAATTCTTCCAAATTTTTATTTTATTTTTTTTTCAATTGCACGCATTTACATTTGTTCGTTTGTATTTTCAAGAAAGAAAGAATATAAACTATGTCAATATTGCAATTGTTCAACTGAACTTTTGTGGTTGTTGTTTATTACTTTAATTTTAAGTTTTAAGAACTTTAGCTATTTTTTCAGAATGCAATCAAAGATCTTCACGAGTTCGTGGGTTTGACAGGGCAATCGAAGAGATGTACCATAGAGTGTGATCAGCAACGCTTTCTTGTCGGCGCACCAAGAGCTGCTGGCTAGCGCCGTGATGACCTTCTTCCTTTGTTTTATAATATGCACTCTAGAGCAATGATACTTGTACAAGACATCAATTAAATTTGGTGGAAATCGATGTAGCTCCGAATTAACACAACGCTCATTTATTGTAACAGGATACATAGTTGACTTCACCCAAATATGCAGAACTTCCAATTTCAAATTAATTTAGATCATATAATATACTCTTTCAGACTTGAAGAATTCTAATTTTAAGGGGAATTCTAAAACGTAGAGTGATATCATGTCGTATATCAAACGAAGTTTTCAAATTATAATGGAAAGTTTTTGAGTCATAATTTATAATGTATAATGATTTTTACGTATTTATTCTAATGTATACTCAATTTCTTTAATTTATTTTGCAGGACACAACCAAACATAACTATAGTGGTAAAAATAATCTACATCACCCATATTTTATACAACAGTTCTTCGTGAGCGGAAGGTTCTCCCACAAATCTTGGTTTCAAAATTACGTCAATTAAGAAGAGTCCTCAGAAAACCATGGAGGAAGATGAGAGGGGCAAACTTTTCGTTGGTGGTCTTTCTTGGGAAACCACACAAGAGAATCTTTCGCGTTACTTCTGTCGTTTCGGCGAAATAATCGATTGCGTCGTGATGAAAAATAATGAAAGTGGTCGTTCACGTGGATTTGGCTTCGTTACATTTGCCGATCCGGCTAATGTCCAACATGTACTTCAAAGTGGACCCCACACGTTAGACGGTCGTACAATCGATCCGAAGCCGTGTAATCCTCGAACATTGCAAAAACCTAAAAAAGGCGGCGGTTTCAAGGTATTTCTTGGGGGCTTACCTTCCAATGTTACCGAAACTGATTTGCGTACATTTTTTGGGCGTTATGGAAAAGTAACTGAAGTCGTTATTATGTACGATCAAGAGAAGAAGAAATCGCGTGGATTCGGGTTCTTATCTTTTGAAGAAGAATCATCTGTTGAGCATGTAACCAATGAACGTTATATCAATCTTAATGGCAAGCAGGTAATAATTTAAAATATAGGTCAACCAATATATATTTACATCAAATATGAAATATATTTGCTTTATGGAAAGCACAACCAGGTGGTCTTAACATACATTGTTATTTTAGGTTGAAATTAAAAAAGCCGAGCCTCGCGATGGGTCCAACTCACAAAATGCTAACAACAGTTCTGTAGGTGGCGCTTATGGCAAACTCAGCAATGATCCCAACCATTGGGGTCCACCCCATGCTCCAATAAATATGATGCAAGGACAAAATGGACAAATGGGTGGACCTCCTTTGAATATGCCTTTGGGGGCTCCTAATATGATGCCTGGTTATCAAGGATGGGGAACTTCGCCACAGCAGGGCGGCTATGGTTATGGCAACAGTGGCCCCGGCTCATATCAGGGATGGGGTGCTCCTCCTGGACCTCAAGGACCACCACCACAATGGTCTAATTATGCTGGACCTCAACAAACTCAGGGTTATGGGGGCTACGATATGTACAACTCAACATCAACTGGTGGACCTTCTGGACCATCCGGTGGTGGCAGTTGGAATGCTTGGAATATGCCGCCTAACTCAGCTGGCCCTACTGGTGCACCTGGGGCAGGGGCTGGAACAGCTACTGATATGTATTCCAGAGCTCAGACTTGGGCAGCTGGTGGTCCATCTACGACAGGGCCCGTCGGAGGTATGCCACGTACAGGGCCAGGCAATTCGGCCTCTAAATCTGGTTCTGAATATGATTACGGTGGTTATGGTTCGGGTTATGATTATGACTACAGCAACTATGTTAAGCAAGAGGGTGGTGCCTCCAATTATGGGGCGGGACCACGGTCAGCATATGGCAATGACAGTTCTACTCAGCCACCTTATGCTGCTTCACAAGCTGTCTAAAAATGTTTCACAACAAATATTAAAATGTTTGCGCCTACCTGCTGCCTGACGAAAAAGTTGATGCTGTTTTTCATTTCAAACGTCAAAAATGATCAAATTGAAAATTCGAGTAAAGAGTTCATTTATTAGCCCCATATATATTGACAACAGCAGTATCCGAGTGAAAGAACCTTAGCTGATAAAAGTAAATACAAAACGTCATCATTACCACCATTCATTACCATCAAACAGTAACCGCAGAAAAAACAGAATCAAATATCCATCAATACAATGCAGGACACTCATTAAAGCTATTGCGCGTCGTCGTCTGTTTCGTACAGTACAATTCTGTTGTTAAATATTATTTAACGTATAATATAATATTAATAACTAATTAAATTTAAATTATAAAGAGATCATAAAGAATATATATATATATATATGCATAAATATAGCATATATGATACTTTGAAAAGATTATATACATACATATATATTTACATAAAATATTTTTTAAAAGCTACCACGAAACGGAAATTCTTAACAAACACAAATAGTTTTACCATCTCTTGATGGCAAAAAAATATATATATGTATGTATAAACAACAACAACAATTATTATTCCCCAAAAAATATTGCTATTAAACTTTTAAGAACAAGTTTAAAAACGAGAAGAAATTAAACAAGTAATTAATAATATATCTTATAAATAATTAACAGTACGAAGCAAATTAGTTAATTATGATGTAAACCAACTGATAAAACCAACCACAAAAATATTTAATAGAATCGAAAAGGTAAACTGAATACTAAAATAAACACAAAAGGAAGTTTAGGTTAAAGAAACAACACTTACAATAGGGGATTAAAGAGGAAACTTTAGAATAACTATTTTTACTCTACAATTACAACACTTTTTTACGCGCATAGACATGTCCCTGAAACTAAAAAGAGAGAAAGAATCGTATAATTCCGTCGAAGAAGAACCCCATGACATAAATCAAACCCCAATCGGCCACAAACTTGCGAAGAAGATAAATGAAAGAATTTAAAGCAAAGAATTAGTTAGCCAGTTGTACGCAAAGAGTATAACGTGGGCATGGAGTAAACAAATAATTCTATTGCCATAAAGTTTTGTTATCTTTGGCATTATTGTGACTCGTGGAAATAGTGAATTTGGATGATGATTTTCTCTCCTTAGTTCAGTTTTTTTTGGTTGCATGAGAACACAGCAGCAGGACGTGTATAAGTTTTATATATGAATTTTTATGTTTAATTTCGAAGTAAAATGTTCTCATATCTTTTTTCCTTTTTAAATTTAAACTTAAATGTTAATTGCAAAAACAATGTGTCTGCATGTAAAACTATTAGACCTAGAAATGAATTACATTTAAAATTTTTTACATTTACCTACTACAACAGACATATTCATTATATAGTTAAAGAACAACCCATACAGTTAGACATTTGCATATATAGTTTAAAGGTTAATATTTAAAATTAAATATTTATATATACTAAAGATATACAATAACAACGTACATATAACGTATAATGAAAACTACAAATAGCATTAAAGACGGAAAATCGAAAAAATCAAAAAAACTAAGCAAACTGAGCACGTCATTGTTGTCGTGGTAACAAATATCCCATATTTTACCCAATCCTCATCAGATCTTAAGTTCTTTTTATAAATTTACCCAATGTTTTATTATTTTTTTAATTTAATGTTATACTTTTTTCTTTGGTGAATTGTAGAATACTATAACATTACATTTTAATTATAAATAAACAGAAGATGAAAAAACTTTTTACATAAATAGCAAACATAAATAGTCTTTAGGCATGCTTGTCCGTTGTTTGATTATTTGTTCACTACATTTTTGATTAAGTCAGTAAATAAATAATTTCTTTAATTTATGTAATGGTAAAAGAGGACACTTCCTTTTTTCCGGGGGTAGTATTGAAGTTGGTTGCACATTAAAAAATAATAAATTAGAAACTTTTTTTATTTCTTACAGGATTATTAAAAGTTTCAGTTTTTTAATGATTTGAATAAAGAAAAAGAAACAATGGAGACCACAACAACAAATGTTATATTCGCAAAAACAACTAATTTGGTGGATCGTATTGAAATAACGCTTATTTTAACAGGAAAATGTTTGGTAAAATTCTTTACACGCATTTAAAATTGAAGTAAAACCTTATGCAAAACTCGCAAGTAAAGTTTTACACTTATATTTGTGTTTATTTTGGATAATATTTTATGCCAAACAAACTCTTTTATGCTTTAAAAAAGCTGTTGTCTTTAGATATATTCGAGACATAGTTATTTATAGAAAGTAAATGTTTTTCGTCATAAAATTCTATATTTATTCTATTGTTTCAAAGCAGATCCTGAAAGCTCACATTAAAAAAATAATTTTTCACATTTATTAAAGTATGGAATATTTTTATTATTCTCTAATTTTGATGTGTTGTCAACAAGATTCCCGGAATCTTAAATGTCGGAAATTTTTATTTAAAACATTGAAAATTATCAGGAAACCTCGAGAATGCAGCATTGCTTTTTATTTTGAACACTTGTGAAAGTTTAAAACAGGTGTTCGAACTGAGAAAACCCAGAAACAGTAGTAGGAAGCAACAACATTATTAAAAAAGTAAATGAAACATTTATTAGAAAAAGTAATTAAGAAAATAAAGTAAATAGTTTATATACATATTATATGCATTACTCCATATATGTACCATTCTATATAATACACATACAATCTATATATTTACCCTATATTACATATAAAGAAAAAAGTGGAAAAAGTAAACAAATGATAATGGAATAAGTTTTAAAAAAAAGTTATAAGTAATATAAAAAATTACAAGGAAATACACAAAATATACACATATTAAATCATTTAAAATAAAATCTAAAATAAAACAGTAGTTAAATAACAAAACAAACATTTTTAGCCTCACAACACCTGAAAACCAACCATCGTTATATATTTCATAAAAACCTTTTTAATTTTTACATTAACCATAAATTAGATTAAAAACATCGTTTAATTCGAAGAAAAAACATTTTTAAATTTTCGTTTCGTTGTCTTTATTTAATATTTTTTTTCTACCACAAACTATATTATAGAACAAAAATTGTAATGTCGTATTTTAAACGTAACGTAAAAGTAAAGTTGTAAGCATTGATTTCTATACAAAGGAAACAAATATGAATAACATGTAAACATTAAACTAAAATTTAAAATTAACCAGAATTAATTAAATTTAAACGAAAAGCCAACACTGACTGTTAATTGTAAAACAATTTCTTTAAATTAATTAAACAAATTTATTCTCTATGATTATGTTTTAAATTAATGTTATATTTTAATGAAATATATAATAACTAATATATGATCAATTACAAACATTTATTAACAAAATACAATCTCCTATCCTTTCAAAAAATCCAACTAATTGATGTAATCCCAACCCGTCGACAATATTTATACCATTTAATTGTATTGATTTCTTCTCATACTCCATATACCACACAGCAACAACAATAATAATATTAATAGCAGGCATATATAAAATATTACCACAAAAATTCATATAATTTTTCTTTTAATAAGTTTAATTTTTCAACATTCTTGGACTTGATTTTTTAAGGAAAATATATTTTAAAAAGCAAATAATGATTTCTGTTTATTCAATTTAATTTCGAAGAACATATATTTTTATACATACTTTTACTCAAGGAGTGACAAATCAGGAGCATGTATTTTTGTGTCAACGGTGTCAAGTTGCACTCCATAAAAGGAAGCAAGGCCTACATTAGTTCGGCCAAGGAGACTACTGTTGACAAAAATTTGACAATAGACTTAGTAGTTTTTGCACTATTGTGATTTGACCTTCTTTGAGTTTCAAATCACAATAATGTCTTTTGCCAGCACACTTAGTTGTAAGATGGACTTGCTGGTCGACCTTATATAGGCCATGATAGAAAGTATTTTGTCAAAAATTCATTTTAATATTTTAAATGAATTACTGTTTGAGTAAGTGAATGATAAAATAATTATTGAGCTTTTGAAACAATATTACGAATCAAATAATGTTTCAATTAAAATATATTTCGCTAGTTATTGCAAAATATGAGCTATATAGTGAACAAAATTTGTGAGTTAATTCATTGTTCATGGCCATAAAATGAGTATCGTTACATTAGGTTACAGTGGGCAATGTCCGAACCAGGGCGCAAGAACAAGGTGTTCCAGCAAATTGGAAAATGTCGACTTGTATTTGATTAGGTGTGTTTTACAGAAAAAAATGTAAAATCACAAAATAAATAAAAGAAATTCAACTCAATTTAATAAACTAGTTGAAGAGCAAGTTGAAAAAATAATAAACAGTCGACGCCGTTACGGAATACCAAATTAGTGTCAACAACAAGTGATATCATCCTGAAAGTGACGACGGTGTCGGCGTGGACAACTAGAATAAGGGTGATTATTTAATTCCGCGCGGCTCAGATTTCCGAGGATGAATTGGCTCGCTCGCGATAAAGGTATCAACTGGCTTATTTGTTTTTCAAAGTTGTGTAAATTTTGCCCGTGTTTATATATACAATATATATATATATATATATATATATATATATATATATTTCTTTTCGATTTACATTTTCCGAACAAGCTAAATACCAAATTAAAATCACTTTCGTACCGAATTCATTCTCGTGACATGCCTGTATATATATCTATATATATTCTTGATCAGAGTAAAATTCTAAGTCGATTTACCAATGTCTATCTGTTACTGGCAACAATTTTGCACATTTGTGTATTTTGTTTTTAAGTTGTTGTAGTTTAAGTACTTAAATGAGCCATGTCATTCCACGTTTTCGTATAGTCTCCATTTAACAACACCTCCCGATATTCGGTGTTTTGATGATTTAAGCGACAGTATTCACAGGAATTTCGTATTTGAAGATCGTGGTGGTTACTACAGCATATGACAAAAAATTCTGTATGCAGGTCCACGTCCCCATATAACAATACTTCCCTATATTCGGTATTTTGATGATTTTAGCGACTTATAAAACGAAATTGTTTTAAATTTCATATTTGAAGGTCTTAAGGAATGCTACATTATATGACCAAAACGTGCGCATACAGATCAACGCGTCCGTATAGCCCCCATACAACTATACCTCTCGAAATTCCGTATATTAATGATTTTAACGACATTATTTGCCGGAATTGTTTCAAATTTCGTATCTGATGTTCGTAATGAGTACTACAATCGATAACAGAAAAGTGTGTATGCTGCAGGTCCACGTCTTCGTATAGTCCACATACAATTGTACGTCTCTTTATTAGGTATTTTGAGGATATTACCGGAATTGTTTCAAAATTCGTATTTTAAGTTCGGAATCTGTAATACAGCCTATTTCAGAAAATTACTTTTGAAGTTATTTATTGTTGCTCTACGAAGAAGCCAGCCGATGCCTTAAGCCAGTAAAATAAGCGTTTTATGTATTCTCACCTTAAAAGTCTTTGACACAATATGACTCCGTTACGGAGTTGCATTTTCTACGTTTCTTTGAAGATGAGCAACCTTTTTTCTTGAGCCATTATCGCATCTACATTTTAGTTAAATAATAAACAAAAAGAATTTGTAATTAATTTCGTGAAATAAATGTATAATTCAATTCTATAATAAAAAATAAAAAACTTGCAATATCCATTTCTGAGTTGAATAAATTTAGCTGTTATTAACATATTATCATTATAAAATATGACAACATAATTTCAGTAGACTGCACGTTAAAAGATAAAACAATTTACATTACTTTTTTATCTATCGGAAATATGTAAGGTCTTAAGGAATACTACATTAACCGGCCATATATTGTCAAATTTGAATTTTGAGCTCTTCCTTTAGTTTAAGCGTACAGCTGGCAAGAAGTTTACATTTATTTCCGACCAAACATTTTGCCATTTTCGCGCCTTTTAAAGGGTATTAAATTCAAGAAAATATAAAAACAAAAATATTAGGCTCGTAAGTCGTATAAGGCTTGATTATGGAATGGTTGAATTTTGTTTCAAAGTATCATTTTGCGGCTGCTAGGGCTGTTAGACGGTTGTCATCCTGAATTTCCAGTCGAATTGGCACTAATTTCATTGCAGGAAGTTCTCATTGACAGTCAAATGGTTTAATAAGAGAAGGTAGATAAAGCTTCCTCCTAATTGCATTTTTTTCCCTTGCCCCTATTATCTCAAAACTTGTGTGTGCATTGCTTTGAATAATAAAGAAAAACAAATTGAAATTATTTCAAATTGGGTAACCATTTGTACCATCTTGGAATAAAAAGGGGGGGGGGGGGGATAATAGATCAAACATAATAAATCCGACTATATGAAACAAGGCCCATTAAACAGGCAAATCACAATAAGAATACACTGTTGCCACATTCACTCCGTGGTGTGATTTGGTCTGTTTTAAAGTACGATTACATACAACGTCCTTTAGTACCTCCAAAACGCTTTTTTGGCTGGCTTAAGTCATCTACGAAAAAGCTAACCGATGACTTAAGCTAGTCAAAAAAGCTTTTTTTGCATTCCTACCGCAATTATCATCGTACCCTACAAAATTACGAAAGTTACGCTATGTGTAGTTTTCTTCACATATAGGATTTCTACGTAATTTTCATAAATTGGCGAATTTTTTAAAAAATTAGGGTAATAAGAAAAAGAATGCTTTTTTATACCATGTACAGTTTAGCTAATGCTAGTCCAAGTTCACGCAAGAGAATACGTCGTATAGTTTTCGGGTGCATACCTTTGAAACTAATGCATTTAGCGCAAATGTCGATCATATTCGAAAATACAGCCATTGGCTATCTGTTTGACTTCCTATTGGAACTGTAACATGACAACATTTTGTCTACTGTAAATAGGCCACGTAAAAATTACGTTTTAATACGGAATGTAACAAAATGATAGTAATAATAAACTATGTTCCAGTACTTGAAGAATACATGGTAGAATTACACATTTATTTTTCCTAACCACATATGATACAAGCGTCGCATTATTGATTGATGCTAAAGTGGATATGTACAATGAATTTTTACAGTCCAAAAGTTTTGTTGGTATGCTTTTTTGTTTTTCCGCATGGTACCTACCATCGTTAGCCCTTGAGCCAATATTTTTTCCATTGTTACATTATGGCCCTTCAATGCTCTGTACAAATTTAAAACTACGCGCTTCCCTTGACTTTTTCGGCTCGATCTCCGACTTGTTTCCCAAATACGGCTGTAAATCACACATAGCAAGTTTCGGAACAGACCAGCCAAAATTTTGTTCCATATCTTTCAGGCTTCGATGGCATTTACTGGCGGAATTGCGATCTCCCGCGGAAACCAAGGAATTACTCGTCGATGGTAACACATACGGAGGGGTTGATATAGTCAGCTAAAAGTTTAGGCCACTTGTGAAATTCTGGAAAAAAGATAACATGTTTTTTCGAAGTTGAGTGGGAGGAACGCGTAAATAAACATGTTGACTATACAAAACATGATGAGAGCCACCTAAATAAAAAGATAAAACTAATTTTTCGTTGTCTTTATCTTAATTTATCTATGCCCGTATGCATTTGACCATTTCAAAATTAAATTCTCGACTGGGTATGGGAAATACAATAAAAAAGCTTCTTTTATGTCACCGACAAGTGATCGAGCACACCTTGTGGCGCCTGCCCGCGAATTCAAAACATTTTCCTTCCGTAATCTTGCAGAATTAATATACACAGGTTCAGATTTCCATACAATACCATATTTTCAAGCAAACTGGGAATCGCTATCTTGGTCTTCTGAACTACTCGCATTTCATTTCTTGAAATTCGAAATCACTTTCACAAAGTTCGAAGTCTTGATCGGGGAATAACTGTCCTCTGAATTACAAAATTCTTCATCCCCGACATTGACAATATTTTATATTTCTTCGTCGGAAAGATACCTTGGCCGGGTCACAATTCTTTTAATTTCTAACCAAGTCCAGTAAATGTAGACTTATACCTATCAATATTTTTTCTAAATCAGTACAGCAGGAACACCAGGTAATTTATATTTACGGTATTATTTTTCTCATAGCACATTTTTAAGTGAGGGTAATTTCCGGAAGTTTTTTGTAGCTCAATTCCAAAAAAACGTTTATGAATAAAATACGTTTTTTTCACAAATGTTTATTGCAATCGGTGTGTAGTTTTATGGTAGAAGAATATAGGTAGACGCGTCGACACAGCTGCTGAACAATGAACTCTCATTCCAATTTTGGAATTGAAAATGTTGAATGAAAAATTATTTAAATTTATAAAAATTGTTGAAAAACGTGGATTATAATGAAGTAGTATAAGAAAACATATAAAAATCTACTTATAATTGAAAAAACATTTAAATTTTTTTGACACATCAATGATCCCAAGTGTTGATGCATCTACCTGTATTCTTCTACCATGTGTAGTTTTCTACATAATGCTAAGTTCACATGGCACTTGATTCGCTCTCTATTCGTTGTTAGACCGTTAATCATTAGATATCTTCTTAATTCCCCACATGGTACAATGATATCAAGGTAAGGCTATGATACCATATGATTTTAATTTTTTTATTTTCTTGGCTTAATATGTCATCTTTATTTGTTTATGTATGTTTTTTCTTTTCAATAACAAAAAATTGTTCAGAAAATATTCAAATTCGGGTGTTTTCAAAATGTTTATTTCAACGTATGCATCGACAAAATCTAGAGTTTTTGTAGCGAAATAATCCTTTAGAGATATATAGTACATGATTTTGAAAAGAAGTGTTGACCTCTATACTTGCAATTTTTTCAAAGTTGGCCTACCTTCTCTTCATTCTACCATGATTCCCCACATAAAACTTGTTGAGCGAACAAATATTTTTGTTCTTTATTCCATTCAAATCACTTACATAACAAAGATGAAATATGTGCCATCCCTAACAAATGAGAGGATTTATCGAAAAAACAAATTATGTCATTTTAAAATTCAAATAGAAAAAGTCTTAGAAAATTTTCAGGAAGACTGAAAATTATGATTGAAAGATATAATGTTGAATGGTGTATGAACATTCAAACGCAAGTAAATTTTGTTTTTTGCTTTTTGTCCAAGAGTTGGAATATTTTCAGAAAGCTGGAAACAAAAGATGCACTATTATCAAAAATTTTGCATCTACAAAAATCAGTTGACAGGTTTCCCTCCAGCGAAAATAAAAAACAGAATACAAACAAAAATATAATCATTGCTGGGACAATGAACTTTCAACTCGATTTTCAACTCGTCATACTGGCAAACATTTGTTTACGTTTTCCCATCTTTAATTCTCAATTGCATGGATTTTGACAATACTGAAAAAAAAAGCTGGTCTTACCGGATGACCTAATAGAAAGGCCATGATCACGGGCTAGGTCATTCGAATAGACCAACTGGTTTCATTCGTTTTTTCTAAATGCAGGGAATAGTGATATACACTACATCTCCGAAAATGTAGTTTCATTCTTTACTGGAATTAGAACAGCAGGACTCCTGGGCGCAGGAAAAATCGAGTATACTTTATATTTCGATAGAGTGTGATTCGGAAACGCACCCACATAAAACAAAAGAGTGCAGTTCAAACACCTTATAAAACGCCCACTATTTGCGCTCTAGGCCGTAATTCTCGCATTCCATATCGAAATAATTTCGATCAAAATTAATTTTAAGATATTAATCATGGTAGAAGAATATAGGTATATGCATCAACGCTTGGGAATATTGATATGTCAAAACATTTTAAAATGTTTTATGAAAAATAAGTGGATTTTTAAATGTTTTTTTTTTATACGACGCAAATCAGAGGTTGTTATAAAATGCATTTTTCAACAATTTTTACAAATTTAAATAATTTTTCATTCAACATTTCCAATTCCAAAATTGGTTTGACAGTTCATTGCCCCAGCAGCTGTGTCGATGCGTCTACCCATGGTACAATGAAGAGACGGTAGGTCAACTTTGAAAAAATTGCAAGTATAGAGGTCTACCTGTTTGGCTTGTAATGTCAGAATTGCTATCAAAACAATAAAAAAGCAAACAACTTGTTGCATTGATTTTGAATAAATAATTTAAAATCGCGAAAACTGAATGAATGGTCAAAATTTCTTTTCAATATCATGTTCTATATATCTCTTATGGTTTATTTCGCGACAAAAACTGTAGATTTTGTCGATGCATTCGTTGCAATAAGCATTTTGAAAACACCCGAATTTGAATATTTTCGGAACAATTTTTTATTATTGAAAAGAAGACACACACATAAGCAAATGAAGTTGACGTATTAAGCCAGAAAAATAAAAAAATTTAAATCATATGGTAGTTCTGCCCTCACAATGAAAAACTGCCATTGAGGTTGACAAACCTTCATACTTTTTTAAATGATTACTTACGTGCATTTTGACAATGCGGGTGAAATCAGTTGGTCGAACCGAATGCCTTTGTAAAGTCCGTTTATATACAAAATCTCTACCCAGGTCAACCCTGATAATTAACCAATCACAATAAATTTAAGGTCTGTTTTATATTGTTAGATTAATTTGAATGGGTCATTGTCAGGGTTAACCCGGGTATAGATTTTGTTTGTAAACGTACTTCGGATAGACCATTGTAGAAGGATGCAGGTAGTCGCATCGACACAGCTGCTGAGACAATGAACTGTCAATCAATTTTGAGATTGAAAATTTTGAATGAAATATTATTCAAATTCGGTTAAATTGTTGAAAAATGCATATCACAAGAACCCCCGCTTGGCGTCGTTGTGACTACCTACTACTATCGACACAGCTGCTGGAACAATGAACTGTCAAACCAATTTTGGAATTAAACATTTTGAATGAAAAACAATTTAAATTTGTAATAATAGTTGAAAAATTCTTGTGATAACATCCTACAATTGCATCGTATAAGAAAACATATGAAGATCTGCTTATTTTTAACAAAACATTTTAAAAATTTTGACATATCAATGTTCCCTACATTGATGCATCTACCTCCATTCTTCTACCATTTACCATGGGCCATGCTTTCCATTGTCACATTTACTATAATTGTTCAATAGTCAGTGTTAAACTGGATAAAGATTTGTATGTAAATGTTCTTTTTAGTCTTACCAAATGCTCACGTGCCATGGTAGAAGAATTCAGGTAATCGCATCGACTCAGATGCGGGGACAATGAACTCTCTACCCGATTTTGGAATTGATAATCTTGAATAAAAAATTATGGAATTATTTAAAAATTGTTGAAAAACAACCTCCGATTTGCGTCGTAAAAGAAAACATATAAATATCTACTTATTTTTACAAAACACCAACAATTTTGACATTAATGTTCCCAAGCGTTGTTGCATCTACCTATATTCTTGTACCATGTCACGTGCGTATAATTACACATATAGCCCCATGGTAGAAGAATACATCTTCTTTTCTATTTCCTTTTCCTGACCTTCGAAATCTTTTACTCTCTTTTCTATAACTAGAGAAATCGGCAAGTTCATATGTAAATGCAACTTATAATAACGAAAAAAGAATTTTTTGCACAACAAAACATTTCTTATGTATCGGAAAGATGTAATAATCGGCCTGTGTCCATTCATTTGTAAGATAGTGTGCTCAAAGACATAGGCCTGTTATTACATCTTTCCGTTATATAGAAAAATGATGTTGTCGGAAAAAACAAGTTTCATTTAAACATGAACTGTTCGAAAAGCAAGAGGTCAGACCATTTTCCTTTTATCTTCTAACGTAAAGTTTACTGTTGCCACATTTTATATTGATAATATGACAATAACATCGAAATTGATTCAAATAAATTGATTTTTTTAACTAAAATTAAGACTACCATTCCAGTGACTACCATTCACAAAGATTAATCATTTTATTGTCATATCTCTGGAAAAAAAATGAATATATTTTAAAGGAAATAAATAGCTATGAAAACCCGATAATGTGAACTAAATCCTTTACTTTTCCTAAAGGCCTATAAAGAAGAATGGGCCATAGTATCGTAAAGACTGGAAAATGTATTGTGGAAAAATAGTTTAGGCAAAAATATGCAATGTTAACACAGCATTATAGTGCAAAGTGACATACATAATTTGCAGAACCATAAAGAGTTTCGACTCATATTTCCATTTAATTGTTTATTGCTTCATTTTTAACTGTGTTAACCGTTATAAATAACCACTTGTGTTTGTATTCCATATTCAAACTTATTGTTTTTCGACAATCAGAGTTAACCCGGATAAAGATTTGTATAGAAACTCAATTTAGTAGTTCAAATCCCTCATCATATGTAGAGTTTCCTGAGTTTGATACCCTCCACCATTGAAAACAAAATGGTACAATAAAAAGGTAAGGAGACCTACCAGTTTTGAAAAATGAAAGCAAAATGATTGTAAGGCGCGCTTAAAGGATATTAACCCATGGTACAATGAAGAGAAGGTAGGTCAACTTTGAAAAAATTGCAAGTATAGAGGTCTACCTATTTGGCTTGTAATGTCAAAATTAGTATCAAAACAATAAAAAATCAAACAACTTGTTGCATTTATTTTAAATAAATAATTGAAAACCGCGATAACTGAATGAAAGGTCAATACTTATTTTCAAAATCATGTACTATATATCTTTAAATGATTGTTTCGCTACAAAAACTCTAGATTTTGTCGATGCATACGTTGATATAAACATTTTGAAAACAACCGAATATTTTCTGAACAATTTTTTTGTTATTGAAAAGAAAACACATACATAAACAAATAAAGATGACATATTAAGCCAAGAAAATAAAAAAAATTAAAATCATATGGTATCATAGCCCTACCTTGATATCATTGTACCATGTATTAACCTGTTTTGCCATGAGATTGAAAGATTGAACAGTTTGGATCCTATTTAAAAAAATGAGATAAACTATTAAAGTTATAAAAATGACATTTTTCATGTAATTAAAAAAAAATTGACGGGAAGCAGGTACAGCTTACGGGCTGTATTTCTGTAGTTTTGCGAAATTTTTCTGCCTCTTTATTGTGCCATGATATAACCCACATTTTTAACGCGGAGTCTAAAATTTGGCACACTAGTATGTAGGGTAAGTGCGCCTAAGGTCGGCATGTCCCAGTAGTCGGCAGTTTTGAAATTTAAGCTTAAATAACTAAGAATAGAATTGACCAAATAATGAAATAATTGAAAAAAAACGTCAACAGTGTTCTCTGCTCTCTTTCTGTAAAAAAACAATGAGCTCCGATCATTTATTACGAGAGAATAACGGTTTTCGTCAGTGAGTGTCTTCCATCGCATGCGATAGTGCTTGTTTGTAAAGAAAAAAATAGTGGTGGTGTCAACTTAATAATCGATTTAAGTAAATTAAATTTAATACTTTTGGAATCAGAAATATTTTATTAAAGTAAATAACAGTCTAAATATCATTTTATAACTTAAAAAATTTACAAGTCAAGCATTTTTCTGTTATATTATTTAATGCCGACATTAGGAACAGAAAAAAAGATTTGCCAGCAGTCGGCAGGGGGTGCCGCTTACTACTACTAAATATAATTTTTGACCCATTTCACCAAAACTTGAGAAAACTATTAAAAAATTATCCAAAAACTACACAAATAAAAAATATTTTTGTGTCGGCAGTTGTTTTTATTTGTGCTTTTTGAGCAACTTTTCTAAATTAAGTTGGTTTTTTAAATCAGCTATTTGACGTTTTAGATAGCGGTGACATTTTTGAAGAAAGGAACTCTTTCCTCACAATCCTCTTTCAATTCACAAATTTCAAATATAAGAAAGGTACTTTTTTCTTTTTTATTTAATCTCATTTTTGTTTTAATTGAAAATCCATACGTTACTGAAGGTAACCATACTATTCTTGATTTTCTACTTATATTTGGTTTAGAATGATAATTAAATAAAACACTATTTAAAAACGAAATTAATTAATTGAACTGTGAATTAGTAATATAGCATTGTTTTATACTATTAGAAATAAAAAAATACAAAATAATATTTTTTTACTGAAATACTATATGCCGACTACTGGCAAATAGACATGCCGAGCATTGGAAAATGGTGCCTACTACTGGCAAAAAACTACTATTTTAGTAAAATTGCAAATTTTGCCAATTTAATAAAAACAAATTCAGTTGTTGTTTATTATTTCGAAAACTAGACAAAATTTGGAATCTGAACAACTTTATTTTTCTGCAATTGAAAGATTTCACTCAGAATGTTGAAAGATTGAAACATTGAAAATTCTGGTACTGGTACACTTACCCTATTGTGTCTAGGTTGGTTGGTACTGAAAATTGGTCCACATTTTCGTATATCCCCCTTATAACGGTACCTCTCGGTATTCTGTATTTGGATGATTAGCCACATGTTCCAGGAAATTTTTCCAAATTTGGTATTAACTGTTTGTAACGTGTTCTACATCTGGTGACAGAACATTGTCTGTATATGTCCGCGTATTACTAATGCCTCTATATAATAGTACCTGTTATTCTTACAATTTCAGTCACATTTTCTAACGGATTTGTCTAAAATTTGGTATTTGTAGTTCGTAATAGTCCACGTTTTCCTACAGCGCCCATATAACGATACTTCCTCATATTCCTTATGTTTACGATTTAGACCAATCACAATAAATTTGGCGTGTTTTGTTCATGGTTAAATTTATAGTGATTGGTCAATGATCAGGGTTAACCGGGACAAAGGCTTGTATGTAAACGTACTTTTAAATTCAATTTCAGAGAACTGCTTTGCTAGAAAGTACGGGAACGGGAATCAATAGTATTATATTGTATGTTCACACTTTCTTTACCTGTGTTCCATAACCTGCAAGAATCTACTAGGTTTGGATTTTTTTCCGATATCATAAAGGGAAATTGGTTATCGTAGTAAAAACGTTTACATTCTCTTAGTTGGAGAACCATTGTAGAAGAGTAAAGGTAGATTTTGTACTAATTTCTTATACGTTGAAGTTAAGAAGCTATTATATGTGTTTCTAAACAAATTTAGTTTATTTAAATAGTTTTTGATAGTACATTGCACCACCAGCTGTATTAATCCGACTACCTGTAATGTTTGGCATTCTCATGACATTTCAAACAATGGATTTATTTTTAATTTTATGCGTCATCTTCTGTGTATATATATTTTTTCCACAGAATATTTTTCATATCATTTCAAGTTTTCCATTTGTAATTCGAATTATTCAATTTATAATTCGAATTATTCCTTTATATTTTCTTGGACAAATCTTTAATTTTACACAGCTATATCTCAAGAACTAAAGGTGAGAATGCATAAAACGCTTTTTGATACAAATTATTCGAATAACAATTGAAATAATTCGAATTACCAATGGATTAAATTGAAATACAAATGGAATAATTCGAAATACAAATTCAATTGAATTGCAATTGAAAACATTTGAGTTACAAATGGATTAATTCGAATTACAAAAGAAATAATTCGAATTATAATGTTATTTGTTGTTTCGAATTACATTTGAAAAACAACTTTGAACATGTAAAAAAGGACTACAATGCCATCTCTAGTTGGAAGATGTTAGGTGTGTCTGGTTACTTTTCCTGCAAGAATTGTCCAGCGACTTCTTTCTTAGTAGCGTTCAAGAATAAACAGTATGGTACCGTAGTGTTCTGTACCGTTACGAGGTGGAGTGGTACACTAAGATAATGCACCGTACCGGAGCACAACCCTTAAAAAAAAAATTAGTGATACTGTACCGGAGCACAACGAAAATTGTACTGTACCGCAGTCGGGGCACTAAAAATGTAATGTACCGCAGTCGGAGCACTACAAAATCGTAGTGTACCACATGGCGGAACATTAAAAGAATAATGTACCGGTAGTGTACCACATATGTGTTTTACGATTTGTGAGAAAAATTATGACTAATACAATTCAATATTATGGAAATGAAAGCTGAATTCATTTTATTTGTCATATATTTTTATATTGGTTGCGAAATTAAAGAAAGCTGAAAAATATTTGAAAAGGCAGAATCAATAAAAAAGGACCAAATCTGAAGTGATAGTAATTTGTATTTAACCATTAAAAAAGGATATTTTAGTGGTTGCATTGTAATGGGTTATTGCGCAAATAATTTACCTGTTATTTTGTCGTACCGAAAAATCAATAAATGTAAATGTAAAAACTAAACATTTTGCAAAGTATGGCTGATTGCGGAACACTACGATTTTTTAGTGTTCCGACTGCGGTACACTACGATTTTTTAGCGCTCCTCGTTGTTTTCCGGTACAGTATCACTAAAATATTTTTTAGTGGTAGTGTACCGGTACACTGCTTTTTTAGTGATACTGTACCGGTACAGTACACTATGTTTGTGTACTGTTTATTTTCGAACGCTGTTTCTGAGAGAAGAAGGTAGTTTTCTTCTTGCTTGAAAACTGTGAAAAGTTAACAGAGGGAATTCCTACAAAAACTTGCAAGCAATCACCTGGTATGTCACAACAAAATCAGCTGGCATGTCACAAAAAATCAGAGATTAATCATGCAGAAATTAAAATAAGACAAAAAACAAAACCATTGCGCCTGCGACTTCCAAAATAAAGATGATTTTAAATTGCTTGTCCGAATAGAAATCACCTGCAGGAGAAGAAGAAGAGTTCCAAGTCATTGCAAGAAGAAATTTGTCTACTAAGAATTTGCAAACTCTCAGTATATGATCTGTCAAAATTGTTGTCTCAAATCGCTCTCTTTTGCAGATTTTTTGTGTTAACAGACGAAATCCAGTAACAATTTGCCACAATTGTTACAAATTCTAGGTTAACCAGGCACACCTATTTTGTATTTGATGAATATTTGTCATTTTTAGTAGTTCTCAGTTTTCTTTCTTGGAGAAGCAGTAATCTCAATGTTATTCGTTAGTTTACTAAAATGAGCACGGAAACATAACTCATATTAACCTTTGGCAGCGTAATTTGTATATGTGGGTGGTAAGCGATTTATAAGGGATTTATTTAACTTAGGCGACATACATTTTAAATACATTCATAAGTTTTCTTAATTCATTTGTTATAATAATTTAATTAATTTGTATTTTTTTTCGGAGTAAGTTGTGCACTAGAATTTTATGTTCCTGTTTCATGAAGATTTTGTAACAAGTTTTGTTGCTGAATTAAAAAAAATCCTGAACTATGTTTTTATTTTATATCTACTGTATGTTTCTGTTTTAACCAATATAATTGCATTTTTACCGAAGAAAAAAAAAAAACAAAAACAGAAAGTAGCAAATAAATATTTAAAACCTATATACCCACTTCTTACACGCACACACATACACACAGTGAATAAATACATAATGAGGACTATATGTTTCATAGCATTTCTAGGTTTTAAACATTAAAATTTTCAAATTAAGTTGTTAAAAGTGTCTATATAATAATGTAAACTCATTTGAAAAAGAATTTTACATTAATAAATCGAAACGATATCAGAAAATAGAAAGACGATGTAAACAACTAAAATATTGATCTTTAAGCTATACAATAATTAATAGAAGGTAACAACAACAAGCCACAAACAGTAATAACAAAAATTACAATATTTAAATTATTAATCTTTAGTTGTAATAAATTGAACACAGTGCCTAAGTAATCAAAAGAAATGGATGAACATGACATAATTAACAAGACAAATATCTTTAAAGGACATTGTTAAACAATATATTACATGCAACAATAACGAATCGGACATGTGTTTAAATTTAAAATAATATATACATAATTATTATTCGATAAACAACTAAACATATAAAAATGAAACCCATTTGAAACAAACATTTTTATTCTCTCCCTGGCCATATGACTTATTTCGTATCAAAGCAACAGTAATTAAAAGCTACCAATTATGGATGTTTTAACAAAAAAAATTCTTGAAAGATTTTTTAAAAACTACGAAAATTCCATAAAAATAAGTGTGTGTTACGTGTATACTCTTCAGCAGAGTTTTGTTAAATTTACTTATAAGAACATGATTAGAAATAACGAAACCTCCCAACATAATTTAAATATATAAATTGTAATTATCCATTATTATATACACTATGACAACAATAGTATTAATGTCGACGTAATACAAACATAAAGCAAAAACATATGACAGAAAAAGCAAAAGTGTTAGGTAATGTGAAACATACTCTATCTCAATAACAAAATAACGTAGTGGACAATTAATCATAAATTAATACAACAACAAAAATATGTAAACTTTAATAATAAATACACAAAAATTACTCAATAATTGTTTATAAAGAGTTTTCATAGTCCTGGGAACTTTAAATGAATATTTTCATAGAGAAAAGAAATAACAAATTAATGAAAGTTCCTGCAAAATGGAGACAAGAATCTACTAATTTTGCATTTCATAAAGGGAAACTCGGTTGAAGTAGCACAAAGTTTTACAATATTGCAGTTCTGGAACAAACCGTTTGTGTATGTATTCATTGTTTTGAAAAACAAGATATTTTCAAAACCAATTATTGCAAGCTACGTATATTGCAGGGTGCGCATGGAATTGAAAGATTGAATAGTTTGGATCATATTTTTGAAAGAAAATTCGGGCATTTCGTTTACCTTTCCGGCTGTTTAACTTTAAAAATGAATTAAATTTTAAAAATAAGAAAAAATATCAAATTTATGGAAGCAAATTGTTGCGTATAATTCTGATAAAACGCGGGCATAGACTCAGTGTTGTATTTCTGTAGTTTTACGAAGCTGTTATATCTCCTTATTGTACCATGGAAAATGTTATACAGAAAAAGGCCGAATGCAATATTTCAAGATGAAAAATATTTTTCATATTGCTTTAAATTAGGCTATTACAATTGTAAGTTAGGCTATTACATGTACTAATGTTAATATGAACGTTTTGTGTTGGACAGTACTCTAAAGGCACAGATGCATACCATGGTTAACCTTGATGGTCAATTAACAATGTTACCCTTGGTAGAGATTATGTGTTTATACCCTATACCACACTGTGGTCAGGGTATCATGTCTTTGTGCATTTTTTTGTAACACGGAGAGGGAAGCGAGAATGACCCATAGTTCCTTTTGATGATCTGCATTGAATCACATTCTGAGTCGATTTATGCATGTCCGTCCGTCTGCTTCGTGTATTTTTGTAAACAAAGTACAGCCCGCATTTATTGTCTGATTGAAATGAAACTTTCCACAAACCAGTTGTTTGTCTTAAGGGATAATCTGTCCAAGTTTAGATGTAGCTCCCATATATATCTTCATCCGATTTCGATTTTTTTTTTGTGCGCCAAATTAGCACATCCGACCGAATTCAGCCTAGAAACAAGTACTTCAAATTGCACTCCACAACAATGATATTTTATACCGGACATCAGACGAGTTCGAAGAAAGGCTACATCGGTCCATGATATCGTATTTACCCCCGGAAAAGAATTGTCCACGATATCGCTATTTGTTTTTTGGTGAGACGTTTTTACGGAAATTGTTTTAAATTTCACAATGAATGTTTGTGGTGACAAAAATTTGTATATGCAGTGTCACGTCTTCGTATAGCCCCATATAACGCCCAAAAATTTAATGTTTGTAGTTGAAAAATATAACAATTCGTGAATTTGAAAAATTGTTAGCAGATTATAAGATATGGACCTGGCGTATTGAGGTAATACGGACTTACAACACATTTTTTCATAGTGGGGAAGATGAATATTTGTATTTTTTGAAATGTTGCTTTTTTACTTGTTTAAAGTTATCGTATCACTATACACAAATTTTAGTTGATACTAGAACTACAAAAGCCTCCGTCAAATTTGTTAAAAATCGATTCAGAGTTGGAATATTTCCCAAATTGTAGAGTAGTAACAATTTGGGAAATATTCCAATGATACGCATTCAAATATAGTTCATAGCTGGTAAGTTCTACTTCACATCAATTCTCAATATATTTTAGGTATCATATAGGGTTTAGGGTTTCATATAGTCGGTCTTGCCCGATTTTTGACCTTTCCTTACTGGTTTTCATCTTGAAATTTTGCATTCGAGCCTTTTTCTGTATAATAGTTTCCATTTCACAGAAAATGTTACTACTAATTTTATTATATATATATCGTTGTCATCCCAGCAAACAATTAAAATACAATTGGCTAAACGACGATGGAAAATCAAAAATTCCAAAAGGTACTAAAATGGTACTTTTTTAAATAGAATGGTACTTTTTTATAATTTTTTTTTAGAGTTACAAAAAAACGTTTTATTCATTAAACATAACAAATTCATTCACCTATGTATTTAGGTACATATGTATATAGCTTCCAGGAACATAAAATGTGAGATCATTTTTTCTTATATAACATTCTGAAGTTTGTAAAGTTATTTTTATGATTAATTTCTTAAGGAAATTGTCAGGAATTTTGTAATCAAAACAGCAAGAATTATTCGATTTAAGAAGATCTTTCGACCTTATGAGATTAGAAAGTCTTTCTAGCTGTAGACGATTTCTTTCTTTAGTCTTAGTGGCATTTTGAATTGAAAATATTCGTTTAAAATTCGCTGAAGAATGGTGAATTGATAATATACCAAAGGCAATTCTTGATATATTTGGGAACATTAATTCCCCCAATTCGTTTTTAATAACAGTAACATTAAGTCAAAAATCACTAATATTACCATCTTTACATTTTTTAAGTTCAGGTTAATCAGATAAAGCTCTAAATTGGGAGTTAATGTTTTCAAAATTTTGTTCTTCCTTGGGAAAGAATTTCATTAAAATTTGCATTTCAAGTTTAGTATTATTAATTAATTTTAAAACATAAGACAAAAATAAGTAGGACATTTTCATTATGGGACTAGTTAGTTCATCGCTAATGAATTCCAACTCTATGACAAACGCATCCAGTTACAAAAAGATTTGGAACTGACAATTTTAATATTGCTTGCACACCTTTGTATTTCAACATCATCACTGAGCAATTATCAGCCGTAAACCCGATCATTTTCTCCAGTGGTATGTTGCATCCGTTTAAAACTTCAATTATTTTGTCAGTAATGCCTTTGCCGGTTGCCTCCACAATATGTTCTAGTGATAGGAATCTATCTTGACACTTTCCATCAAAAGTTCTTACAATAATCGCCAAATGTTTGGACACAGTACAGTCAGTGCTGTCGTTGATAACAATTGAGTAATAATTTGCATTGCAAAATTTGCTTATAGCTTTAGTATTTTCTGGTCACTGATATCCATACATTTGCAATGATAACCGAAGTTAGTGCCAATGGTGTCGTAAGAATGTGTATGAAATATTGAAAATTAGTAATCGTCGATTTACACTAATTGCATTATAATGGAGACAACTTAAGTGAAATGGTACTGAATTTCCCGCGGTAGTACTTAGGTACTTTTTGTAGTGAATTGGTACTGAAAAAAGTACCATTGTACTGAATTTTCCATCCCTGAAGTGGCCCCAATTTATCGGTGTTAAAAAATTTTTGAAATCTTATTAACGATTGCACATAAACGAGTAAAAACCGAAAATAACGTATTTGAATTGTTCATTTGGGTACTGTGTAGTTTAATTTGTGAAAATAGAGGTTTTGATTTTTATATTGCACTATTTAAGTAATTTTCAGACGAAATGGGATTTACATACAGTATGTCATATATTACTTTACACACTCTAAAGAATTCTTATTTTTAAATTTGTTTTTTGAAATTTCACAATTTATGACATAAAATTGGCTGAGTTTCTACAATATTTTAATTCTGGATATTGATAGCAAAAATATAATGAGGAAAAAGTTAAATTTTATATTAATTAGACACTAAATTACAACAATAATAAAAACTATTACAATTTCAGGTGTCACAAAATACTTTATACAAATCACATTTTTCATTTATTTTTACAGAAATTCGTCGAAAACTGTCGTTAGTTAAGCTTTGTATTGCTTTTTTATAGTTTTACAAGAACATTTATTGAAAATTGTGGTTGTATCGATAAAAATACAGTGTTGGTCGAAACGGGATTAAATATTACCATGGTAGAAAAATACAGGCAGATGCATAAAGGGTTGAGAATATTGATATGTCAAAAAAATTTAAATGTTTTTTTAAATATAAGTAGATTTTTATATTTTTTCTTATACGACCTCATTCGAGGTTATTATAATTCGGGGTTTTAAAATTTTTTTACAAATTTAAATAATTTTTCATTCAACATTTCAATTCCAAAATTGCTTTAACAGTTCATTGTCTAAGCAGCTGTGTCGATGCGTCCACCTATATTCTTCTACCATGAATATTACGGTTGGGAGGAGTATTCCAAACTAAATTCAGCAACTTAGAAAGAAAAATGGAAGAAAATATATCGAGAAGGATTTTTGTAACACAAAAGAGGTTACAATCATGGTACAATGAAGAGAAGGTAGGTCAACTTTGAAAAAATTGCAAGTATAGAGATTTACCTGTTTGGCTTGTAATGTCAGAAATAGTATCAAAACAATAACAAAATCGAACAACTTGTTGCATTTATTTTGAATAAATAATTGAAAACCGCGAAAACTGAATGAAAGGTCAACACTTCTTTTCAAAACCAGGTTCTATGTATCTCTAAATGATTATTTCGCTACAAAAAGTCTAGATTTTGTCGATGCATACGATGAAATAAACATTTTGAAAACATCCGAATTTGAATGTTTTCTGAACAATTTTTTTGTTATTGAAAAGAAAACACATACATAAACAAATAAAGATGACATATTAAGCCAAGAAAATAAAAAAATTGAAATCATATGGTATCATAGCCCTACCTTGATATCATTGTACCATGGTTACAATACCATGTTAGAATCGAGAAGATAAAATCATGCAATCAAATGTTTACAATTTTTTCAAAATTAACCATTTGTCAACGTCTCATTGTCAAAATATTTATTTATAAATCCATTGTACATACACAAATCATAGATGGGTTCCTGTCAAGGTAGATTTAACAGGTAACCGCATCGGCGATTTGATACACCAAAGCAACTTTTGTGGTACCCTCAAATGTCAAAATTGGCATCTAAGGAGAAAAACATACATTCGCCATGACATTTAAATTTTGCGGCAAATTTGTTTCAACCAATCAGAAACGAGATGTTTGTTTACATTTTATGTTGTGTGGAAATTAAGGCAAGTAATAATACGACTCTCGGGGACCATTACAACAGCCCAAAGTTGATAGTTAGCCCCAAAATGTTTATACAAGCCCACAACTGTAATATCTTCTACGTTATCGACAAATACCACTAATATTCCAGCCAAAGTTGGTAACGGAGGTTATACCGACTCCAGCACATGACAACAGTAGTATATGTTCCAGATCAAATGTATTTAAAGAAAGAACATATCACTAATATAGCCACCAGTAAAAGCCCTTTAAGAATGCCCAGCAATCAAACTTGTGGATAGAATGAATAAGAGAGAATAAATAATTGAGCTCTAATAGTATATGATTTGAGAATAATCTTCAAGAATGTCTTGTATGTTAGAAATTTTACCAATAACTAAAGAGTGTTATTAAAACATATTGACGAATATTTATTCACTTTTGAAAAAAGTTTTTTACGTAGAACACTTTTAGTGAGGAATACATAAACAAACTTTGTTTTTGTGTTGCATTCATTTAGGTCG